GCAGAGTGTGACTGGAGTCTCCCTCTGCTGCAGTCTGGAGGGAAGAGGCCAATGGCCTGTGTGGGGCTGGAGGCCAGAGCCTGCTGCTGCTGGAGGAAGAGGGGAGTCAGGGCAGTGATATGTGAGTGTCCCAATGGCGGCCATGTGGGAGAGCCAGCTGGGGTGGCAACATGGGCCCTGTCCTACAGGAGCTGTGGCGTGGGGTAAGGAGGCCTTAGGACACAGTGGATGAAAATGAAAACGGACTGCTGGGTGCTGGGGGCTGCACAGGCTTCCTGAGTAGGCAAAAGAGTTTTCTGCCCAGAGGTGCAGGAAATAGAGGAAAAGGGCTCTATAGGTTATCTATACACACATACAGATATGTTGTTTGTCTGGGTTTGAGACCTAACGGAGCTCTTACAGTATCAATTACCTGAGAGTCAACAGGCAATTCTTGGGCCTGCTGGGAGTTTTCATCCAGTGCCAGAGGACCATTACACTCACTCAATAAATTTAAGTGTCAGTGCAGCAGAAATAAAGATGCATTCTGACAATGCCGTAAGCCATGTGTGTCCAACACATTAGGTACACTGCTCTTCCCCCAAGGGATCAGTGCTGAGAGAAGGAAAGGCAGTTTCCCAGAGGAAACCCACACCACCTTCCATTTCAGCTGGCCCCGTGATCTTCATCTCCACGTTAATTCCTGTGTGATACTGCCTTCCGCAAAGTCCAAGGACCAGAGATCTCCTGGCCTCATGTATCATGCTAAGTGCTCCTCAGAACATCTGGGGGAAGACTTGAGATTTCTTGATTCTGCCCATCTCTACCTCCACCCCCTGGGCCGACTGCTGGCTCGTTCTAGTTTGAGGTGGAAGGTAGCAAGTGGGTAATGACCGCTAGGCAGTGGGACACGAGTCTGCACTGATTCCACAGGGAAGCAAGGACACGAAGGGTGGGACCAACTCCTTGAAAAAGGGAAGGTTCCAAGCCCTCCTGTGAAGATGGAGTGTGCTTTGGGGAGGGCAGTGAACGTCTTCTCCTCTGCTGTCTTTTTTCTATCTCTTCTCTGGAGTCTCCGAACACACAGGGCTATGTGTTTAGGTGTGTTTCTCTTTGTTCCTAAGAAATTTTCCCTGTGGAAGCAAACAGAGCGTGTGTACAGCCAAAGGTTGGGGACTCAGGAGACAAAGTATGTTGTGGCATGATCAGACCTGTGGACGAAGACGGGGAAGTGGCAGTTGGACATCCAGAGCCCTTGCTCAGAGGTGGAAGAGAAGGGCTGATCCCGACTGCCATGTGAGGTTGCAAGAGATGGAAAGTCAGAAACACTAAAAATGTCTCTCTTCTCTACGTCAGACTTGCATCAAAGTCTGGCTATGTAAATGCTTTCCTTTCTTCCCCTTTTCTGGAAGTTGAAGGTGATTCTTTAATGCCAAATTTCCTCCTCTTCACCCTAAAGGTAATCTGTTCCACACTTTCCCCGCAAAAGTGCTGATGTGACTTTGACATGCACTGGATTGACTACACCCCACCCCTTTTGCCAGGAAAGGAAGAACAGAGGTGGGAAGGAGAGTGCAAGCAGCACAGTTTTGATCTTTTAAGAAAATCTGAAGCAGCCATGAATGAGTAATTGAGAAGTGAGGGAGTAACTGTGCTAGCCTATCTTTTGCTCATTCTCTGAGCATTTCTAACCCCGAAGCCAGCAGCCCAGTTTGAATTCTAGCTCCACCTGTCACCAGCTTACAACCTTGGGCCAGTGACTTTGATCTCTCTGTGCCTTCATTTCTGTATCAGTAAAGTGAGGATAAAAATAACGTGTGCCTCATAGAGTTGTGAGCTAAAATACAAGACAGGCTTAAAGGGTGTCTGGTGCCTGGCTGGTGCTGTGTGTCTGTGAGCTGCCCCGTTTCTTCTTTTTCTGTCATTTTCTGGGTCTGTGCAGATGTGAAGAGAAAAGGATAATCTGGAGAGAAGTCAGGGCCAATCTCCACTGGGCTCTGTGTGATTTATAGCACTACTCCACCACATTATTTTTAGGTGGAATTAGAGAGCTGATTATAATGACATTGATGAGAACTTGAATATTTTTTACTCATTTAGCAATATATTTGTGTTTGCTCATTTACTGATTAAACTATTGCTTTGAGGAAGGTCCTGAGCAGTTTAGAAACCTGTATAAAGAATTTTTCCCTTAAGAAGTCTAGAACTATTGTGTTACTGGTTATGTTTATGAAACTCTGTTAGATCACAGTAAGTAAAGCTAACCAGAAATATGTGGTCTGGAAAAATGAGAAGAGTTCATTTTCTGATCTGAGAAACTGTATCTCTAGCCAGCAGTTTTCTGACTGCAGATATGGTCTGATTCCTCCTATCACCTCTTCTCACCTTTGCTAGTACCTTGTTTTAAGATTACCTGCCATGTCTTATTCTATCGTGAGCAGAAGGTTCCTGGTTCAAACCCAGATTCGCTATTTTCACCTCAACCCATTCAACAAACATCTATTTAATATCTATGTAATATGATCCAAACATTCTGATTGTACTTTACACAAAAATAGTGTAGGGATTATAAATTACTCAGATACAGACCATAATTTTCTGTTTCATTTTTGGATGTACTTTAACCCACAGTATATTACATGGATTTCATTTTAGATGCCATTTAACCCCCCACAGTAAATTAAAATACTCTTTCATCTGTCTTCTGGGCATTACTGAGATGTACAAAGTACATTCATGTATAGGGTCATGGCCATTTTTCAAAATAAAGGAGTCCGACAGAGGACACACAGTCTCTTAAAAAATCAAATAATCATTGGATTGAAAGGATAGCAATCCATTTTTTATGTTCTTACAGGCTTAAAAAAATGTTCCTGCCTTACATTTTTTTTTTTGAACTGGTAATAAAATTCTATCAGGTATTCAGTGTACTTTAGTAAGATCTTTAGTGGTTATAGGGTATGCTGATGGTAGATGCCCAGTAACTACAGAAACTATGAGACCATCTTGTGTAGCGAAAAGAGAACTTACGGTTTGACCTGGGTCAGTCATTTACTCCTCTGGGCCATAGATTTCTCTTAATAAAAATTACAAGGTTAACCTGGTAAAAAAATCAAAGAGTTTTTAAGGTTCTCCTAGTAAAATTATTGAAATTTGAGGTTTTTGTCTACCAACACGGTAGACATTGGCCACATGGGATTACTGAGAAGTTTAAATTAAAATGTTCCAGATTTGAAAGACAAAGTAAAATATTTTGGATATACTGAGTTATGCTCTGGTTTCTCTTCAGATTGCATAAATCTTTTGCTGTTTACTAAAGATTTCTGTGGATATGCTGAGTCAAATAAAATATATTATTAAAATGAGCCTTGTGGATATTTTATTTTTGTAGTATGGCTCTAGAAAACTTAAAATCACATGTATCTCTTGCATTATATTACCATTGGATGACACCAGTCTAGACCATTAAAGCAAAGAGATCAAACTATTTGTAAGCTTTTAGATGCCTAATGGTCAATGTTTCAATGCTAAGCTCCTTATAACTCTAAAAGTCAAGTTTTTGAAGTTAAAATTCTTTATAAGAAACCCAATAAGCCTCACCAGTCAGATATTTGTCACCAAATCCTCCAAACAACTTTCTGGCAAAGTTCTGTGAAAATGTTGTTACAATATTCAGTATTCAAAGTCTATAAATCATCCCCACTACATCATAAAAGAAGATCCAGAAACAGGCTCAATGTTAAAAGTGACCATTCTAGACAGCAATGCCCTGACTGATTTTTCCTTCTTTCTGTTATCTTTCCACCTTTACATAATAAGACTGTTGTTTCTTCACCAGAAAATGCATATCCTTACATGTAAGCATAATTTTATAAATTCTGTAAAAATCACAAATATGTAAAAAGAGCCAGATTTAAAAGGAAATACCCCAAGATGCTTCAATCTGATTTTCTGTATCTCTAAATTTTCTACTAGTGAGTAGCTTACTTCTATCAAGAGAAATATGCCTTGTTTAAAAATTGCAATATCCCCCCTTTCTTTTAACTTTAAATCTCACGCTCATTTCCTTAAAATGCCTGAAGCTTTGATCTCTACTGGATTAGATTTAATAGAAGGTACTTTAGATTTTTAAGTCAATCTGGATGGTCATACAGGTATTTGGTATTTTTATAGCTGCCATCAAACAGAACAGGGTTCTATGAAGGAAATGAGCCTAAGGGCAGCTGCGAGATATTTATACACGGTAGTCACTGTCTGGGGTTCAGGTTATACTAAGAAGTGCCTGTCTGCACGGGTGCCATTTTGAGATGGGGCATGGCTCAGTGGTCACTCACAAGGGCCTATTCAGTACTGAAAAAATAACACAAGAAAGTGGTATCATTTAATCCAGGTATGGTGGCACACACTTAAAAGTCCTGGCTTCTCAGGAAGCTGAGGCAGGAGGATAAGGTGAGCCCTGGCACTTACCAGCCTGGGTGGCATAGTGAGGCCCTCTCTCTTAATAAAATAAGAGAAGCACTTATATTAGAGTCCTAGAACAACCGAATCAGCTTTCTGCACGTAGCCCAGACCAGCTTCTACAGCACATGTGCACTCAGGAGGGGTCAAGTATGCATGGATATGTGAAACGCATACATAAGCAGGTGGGCTGTGCCCTATCCCAGCCTTCCTGGGCATGCCTAGCAGGTGCTTCTATCACCTTCCCTTCACCCTCTGAGGCCAGGCCCACCAGCTACCTGCCCCAGGTACCATGCAGAAGGGGACGTGGAGAAAGTGTAGTACTGTGATGTATGCACCCAGGCATCGGGATGTAGTAGCAGGAGTGTGGACATGTACGGCCAGGTCTGCCCTGCTGCCTCGGGAAAGATCAGAGCTTGTAAGTGCCGGGCAGGAATGACTGTTCAGCTTGTCAGTGTCCCACTCACTCAGTATTTTCCTCCTTGAGGAAGGGTACCTTTTTTTCCAATCCCCGCGGCACAACAGCCCTTTAGGCTCCAGGCCGTAAGCATAACAGAACTTACTATTAGTTGTAAAGATGACTTCTCCCTCCTGGGGCGTGGGGTCTGCATCCTGGACCACCTGCAAGGCTCCCACAGTCCGGACAGCAGGGTCCAATGTGACTGAGCTCTCGTTTACTGTCGTGTCACTTGCGCCTGTGATCTGGTTGGTTGGGGGACCTCCTAGGGAGCCCTCAAAGTCGGTAGGCAGGTCATCCATGCAGTCAGCATTGGGCTGCAGGGGACAGAAGAAGATCTATCCTTAGAGAGTGTCATCAATTTAAAGATGGAACAACCTAAATACTTTGTCTCATTGGCAAATGAAGTATTGTTTTTTTCTTGAGCTATGTTATTTAAAAACAGTCTGTATAAGCTTTATTAACACACACACAAAATCTTCAACATAAAAAGATCTTCCAAAGTCTCCCTTCCACAGGTTCCTTTCAGATATAGGTATAAAGTTTTAATTTCAGGAGTAGCAAGATCTCTGCATTTAAACAATTACAGGGAAAATATGACATTTATTTTGTAGTGATAGAACTTGCTTATGTAGCGTTTACTCCCCATGTAGGCGGGAGCTGGCAGCCTGATAATTAGTCCAAAGACTCATGCATCATTTACAAATATACTATGATCTGAGAGTGGGAGGGAACAGAATCTGACTCATTGTGAATTGCTCATTGGAGATGTACACATACACACACAGAACAACAGGGTAAGGCTACTTTTTAAAAGTGTAAGCTGAACTCCAATGATAGAAAAATATTTCTATGTATTTAACTTGGGATACATCTTTTGTGAGAGTCAAATCCTTTAAAACCTTAGCATCTAAAATAAAAGTGAGCGCACCTGTTCAACCACTCCATCACCACAGGGCCTCTTCCCTCACAGTGTCACTGACTGCTTCCCCTTGAACAGCAGAGCAAGGGAGCTCTCTGCCCTGCAAGGCAGGCGGTGTTTGCTGGTGCTGCTGGATCCCTTCCCGTATTATATGATAGGGCAAATCTCACTCTTTGGAGTTTCTCTCTTCAGTTTTAGTTCAGCTGTATGAAGTAACATGAATATATTTCTCTGTTTTCCACAAGAAACTTAAAGTTACTTCCACCTGTGTTTTTCCTGAAGCTGTGAAAATTACTTTTAAAAGGTGGTGGTGGAAGGATGTGATCTTCAGGCACTTAAGAATAGCTCTGACCTGCACTTCAGCTTTGTCTCGAAGGATGACCATTACATCGTTTCCCACTCTCGTCGGATGTGGAGCATGATGGCTAGGAGCAAGGGAAAGTACTGGATTGGCACTGAACTAGCATCACAATGACAATGTTGTATTTAGAGTTCATTAAAAGAGAAACTTTTGTTTTTTTTTGTTTTTTTTTTTTTTTTTTGGTTTTTTTCTGGTACCGGGAACCGAACTCATGACCTTGCACATGCCAGGCAGGCGCTTTTGCCACTGAGCTAAATCCCCAGCCCCAAAAGAGAAGCTTTTAACACATAGACTCACGGGGGATGCAACAAGGAGTTCTAAACTGCTGGACTCATGTGCTAGTTTCTGCCCTTAGTGGGTAAGACCAGTCTCTTGAGGGTTATGCCTGAGCTTCTACCAGCCAGGTGGAAGTCTCCATCATCCCCGAACTTCTCACAGTCAGCTCATTCCTTTCTTCCCTCCTTTCCTTTGCTCCTCTGTCTCTATTGAAAGTGAGTCAATTTATTAAAACTCAATTTTCCAAAAGTCACTTTACAGAATGACCAATGCACTATATTTACTACGTGTGATACAGGCAGGAGCAGCTACAGTTATAAACCTTTTCTCCTCCTGTGAGTCTATCTCTTTCCAGCTTTTCTCTGACTTCAGTCTCTACTCTCGTACCTGAGTGTTTTTTTTTTTTTTTTTTTTAAAAGAAAACACGGGTATGACTTTTCTCCTTTCCTTAGGAGTGAATCACAATCTCTTTAGCACAACAAAACAGATGCTCCACAGCCTGGTCCAGCCTATTTTTCTGCTGTCACCTTCATTCTCCTGTTTCAATGTTTTAGCCTATACTACCCCCTACTCAGGATGACTTTTGCCTCAACTGCCCTCCTTTTCCCATTTGAAGACCTCAAACTGACCCCTGGTGAATCCAAATCACTCTAATTCTCAGGCCAGTGCCACTTTTTCTAAAGAGTGTCCTCCTCCAGGTACTCATCCTTGACCCCCAGCACTTCTATGGCACCTCTCCCCAAGTGACCTCTTCGTGGTCACTTGTTAGTGTCTGTCTTCCCACTGTTCCATACCCAGCATAGAGAGACACGAACACATTATATTGCCCTTGAGTTCCAAGTCTCCACATACTGCTACTGCTAATTAATTAGGTGCTCAGTAAATGTCGAACAGAATTCTACTTCGAAAACTTGGGCATATCAGTATCTGCCGAAGATCAATTAGGGGAGGATTCAAAAAAAGCATTTTAAGAACTGTAAAGTTCTGTGCAAAAGTAAGATATGCTATGTAAAGAATTTTGTTTAGAAAAAGCAATCACATGTCAGGTATGGGGCATAAAATAATTCCACCATGAAGGCAAGGAGTTGGTGGGTCTTTCCACCATCCACACAGAGTGCAATCATATGCAATGACAACTGCTACATTTTTTTTACTTAAAAGAGAATAAAAAATAATAAAAAACATTAGAAAGTATACAGAATTGTAAAAGACAAGATGATATGAATTCAACAATGGTTGTTATATTGCATATTGTCTTAAAGTAGTTGTTCTGGTTGTCAGATATAAGACTGCAAAATTGGCCAAAAAAATAAGCATTAATTATTTCTTTCAATAAACCAATAGAAATCAGTAGTACAATTATCACCTGATACTTTTAAAAATACTGCTTCTGGTTGTTCTTTTCATTTCATGTACTTAATTTTGCGGGACTGTATTTGTTTGCTTAGTTTGTGAGCCAGTAAGAACAGTGCTGTATCCTTAACAGGAGAGAGAGGGAGAGAAAAAAGAGCTAATTATCTCAGTGGGACTAGCGGGTCTGAATAATTTGGCTTTGATATAACATTTAATAGGCTATCCTTCTAGAGGCTCCTTACTTGTATCCTCTCTATGAGGTTCACTAAACAGACTAATATTTTGAAAAGAAATCAAACTTACATACCTCTAAGAAAAACCACAATCATGTTTAAAAAAGATGTCAAACACTGTACAAATATTTAAATTTAGGTAAGTATGGGGAAATTCAGATTGGTATGGGGAAATCCCTCAAGTACATCAGGCGCTCATAGTTAGAACCTGTGAATGCACCAGCTACACAATGGTAATTATCGCCCTATTCATCTCAGGATAGTCATCACTGTGGGAGAAGGTGTTTGCTGTCATGTGAAAGACCCAGTCCTACGGAACCCTAGAGGAAGAGTCTCACACAGTACTACAAGACAGACCTGGACCTGACCTGACCAGACAGGAGGAGACAAAGGGGAAAAAAAACCACTCTGAAATAAAGAATTTTCTCTCCCTTTCAGGTCAGTGTTATACTTCTCTTGGTAAAATATAATGGAAAAAGATACCACTATTAAGGGAATTTCACAGTCTGTGAGATGTGCTCTTATTCTTTAACTCATTGTAAAGAAATCACTTGCTAAATGGAAATGTCCCTAAATCTTGGCTTTCAACATATACAAATATACACACACACACACACACACACACACACACACACACACACACACACATATATGCTTGCAGTACAGTCCAGGGCACAGAGACACCCAGTTAAAAACAATAAAAACAAAATCAATTATCAGACAGTGACATACTTTCCAATCTTCTTGCAATAAGAAGAAATGGTACAGGAAAATTATAAGACAATCACTTTGAGCAGCATAGAAAAAGTTTCAGTGAGGACATAGGACGTGTTTTCTAGTTAAGACGGCTGTGAGCTTGTCCAGTGATAAGGGAAGTGTGAAGAACGGCACGGAGATCCTCTCACTGGTACGTTACAGGCACAGTTTTCCCTATCGCAGAAGGATGGAACAGAACAACACCCACAATCCTTCCAGATTCCTACTCTGTCATCCTTTAGGACAAAAAACAAAGAACCCCAGGGTGCAGTGAGGTGGCCATATGCCCTGGAGATTTGTGAGAAGCAGCCCACCCCTGCTGCCTTATTTTTCACGGAGGACATTCTGTTCTGTGGGGCGAGCTGGGGTATGTGTCATGTTGTTGTTAGGCTGGCCTTTAAAAACCCTTGGCAACATCCACTTGATGCCACTAATGTTTACTTTTCTGGGGGAAAGCGTGCTAAATAGAATCCTACCCAGACCTGATAGGCTTCAAACTATAGCCAGAATGCCCAACTGCCAAAAATCCAAATATTACTGAATTTGGAAATAAGCAAAAAGGCCATTCCATTAATTCTATTTTAGCAACAATTAGCAGTATTTAAAACTGATTTATAAGAAGCTTCTGGAGAAATTATACTTTCATGGGCAAAGTCTGGAGTCAAATACTCTTTAGTATAAAATTTAACTACACAGCGTTGTTTGGTTTTATTGTCCTGATCAAAGAACCTCGAGACTGTTAGGATCTTTGACACTTAGGATGCTGAAAGTATCTTGAGCAACAGAAACTAGGTCAAATAATGCAGTTGTTTCCATTTAATTATGAAGACTCAAGATTTTGGAGACCAAACACACATACACACTCACAAGCATTTATACACATCTCCCCTCTCCTTAGAAGAATTAGTTACAGCCAGACATGTGAAAAGTGCAAAAACTTCGTTTGAATTTTAAAGTCACCAGTATCTGGCTTGAGATGTTTGGTTTTTATTAATGTTTCATGTTCACTGTAATTGACTTTCACCTTGAACGCGCTACACATTTACAACTCTGATCTGAAATTTTAATGCACTGTCTTTAAAATCTAGCTTAGAGCTATATGCATCACACAAGTTGATTTGTGTTTGGTGCATCAACCATGAAAATCAGCCCACAGCTGGCATGGAGGTAGCTGCCACAGGGTGAAGTTCAGTGAATGGATGTCCTCAGAATGCGCTATGTATGTCCTCTCCAACAGCGTCTCCTTGATATTCCTAATGAGCCCTTTGGCACTGAAGAAAACTCTGACACATGATCTGATTCCTCCCTCTTCAGTGACGTCTTGGGGCTATTCACATTCTCTTTGCCATCAACAGAGAAGAGTGACAATGGGCAGGTTGCAGCAAAGTGTAGCTGGGAAGTGGGAGGGAGGCTAGTTTTCTGCATTCTGCTCGTGTGGCTAGAGACAGTGCCTTATGTTTTTCTCACTGCTTTCTGTGTAGTCCATGACTCTGGTGGCCTGGCTTGCTTCCTGCCCTCATCTGTTACAGGGAATATAGCACACAGCAGCTGGTGTTTCACCAGCCACCACTTGCGGGGTTCACTTGATATGGTCCTGGGAAAGCCTTTCCCTGGAGCGCCCAGCCAGCTGGCAGGAGTGTGTGCTCTGGGGGAGGAGCTGAACTTTAGAAGTCATGTGACCCAGCAAAGCCGCTTGATGGCAGTGCCAGAATAACTGGTTCCGGCTCTGCATGCTTATTCAGTGGAGGTCTCTGCAGAGGTCTCAGCTAGGCAGAAACCTTGGGCCTGATTCTCAGCCCCTGCCCTCCTCCCCCCATTGCTAGCCATGTTCTCTGTGAAAGGTTGGTGATGGTGGACAACACCAGCAAGTGTGGCATGCAGATCTCCTTGACGATGGAGCAGGGGTGACCCTACAGAAGCAGCCAATGTACAACGGGCCGGTGCCCCACCTGCCCCTCAGAAGAGCCTCCTAGGACCTGCACAAGAGGCATCCTTGCTCACACACAAATACAATGGGTATGGGGAAAGGGCCATGATGTCCTCAGAGGGAGCAAAAGGGAGAGGAGAAATATTTCCAAACATGGAATGCTCTTGTGGGCCGCCTTAGATGACATCATCACTATGTGATTGAGGGGGACATAGGAAATTCAGGTGAGATGTTTTCTCCCTGCTTCGGGGGAAATTCAGAAAGACAGACATTATGATGCTGTAGGCTGTGCTGTGCTTACCGGGATCCCTAGGGCTTTAAGAATGTTCATCTTGCACATGGGACAGGTGCGATGGTCTAGAAGCCAGGGGTCAACACAGGACTTGTGGAAAAGATGCCTGCAATGAGAACCATACATCTTAGAGCAGTGGTAACTCAGAGACTACCTCGTCCACGGCAGCCCAGTGGCCTGTCCAAAGTCGCTCAACTGCTCAATGCGGGACCAAGATTCGAACCACCTAACTCTTGGACCACAAAGCATCCCGCAGTACCCTATGGCGAGCCCCCAATCTGTCCGGATCCCAGCAGTGCCCTGTGTGATTTGCAAACAACTCTTTCAAATTCAGAAAATGTCCAGAATGTAAAAATAGAGACTTTTCTCTGTTTGAGTAGAAAGAGTGTTTAATGACAAGAATGCAACTGGGAAAACTTGTGCAGACCTTGCAGGATGACTTGATAGAGCCAACTTTAAAAAAATATCCAAAATTTCTTTTTTCATGATTACGAGACTACTGCCAAGTAAAAGAGGATTTCCATTAGTGTTTGGGGTCTAACCCAAAAGGGCCAAAGAGCTCCTGAAAGCATTTAATAACACAAATGACTTTTTAAATTGCTCTGATTGCTGGCCCTCAAGTCAGAAGCCAGGGAGGGTGGTTAAACATTGGGTAATCATTACTGCCTGTGCTCAAGTGCATAGCCAGTCTCCCACGCTAGTTATCACCAGCCTCTGTCTGTCCGGCAGGAGAAAGGGGCACGAAGAGGGCTTCTGAGCGGAACTTTCTGTCAGCTTGGCTCACAAAAGCCCACTCAGAGATCCCAGGAACCATGGGAGTCAGAAGCTTGACTTCAAACTCACAAGATTCCTGACCATGGGCAGAAGCATTCAGAATTTCCTCTCTGGGGCAAGGAGAGACAGAAGAGAGAGGAAGCTGCCTGAGTTCTAGGAGAGCTTTCTTACAACATTCCATCCAAGCTTGGTTCTCAATAGGGCACTGTTCTTAGATACTTCCACCCCATTCTCTCTCACTTTCAACTTCTTTTATACTAACAGTTCTAAAAATCTCATTTGCTTTGCATTGGGCTCTGAGTTCAAGTGCTCCCAAATTGGAGAACAGTTCAGAAAGTGCTACCTTTTATACTGAAATCCAGAAGAACTCAAGCACTAAGGATGGGATTAGAAAGAGGAGAGTAGCAACTAGGACACGCCATCGTGTTTCCTGATTGTTGCTGAGGATGCCCTGCCGATTTATTGCTTAGAAGCTATAGACCACATTCTTTCATTCCTTAATTCACTAGCAAGTAGCATGTGCCAAAAACTGTGCTCAGCATCCAGGACCAGCATTATAGTGACTTGGTTCCTTCCCTTCGGGGCCATAGCAGGGGAGGCAGGCATTAATAATCTGCAAATAGGTGACAGTCAAAGAGCAAAATACACATTACAGGAACAGGGAATTTGGGAGATTTACCCAAGTTCAGGTGCTCAGAGACAGTTCTGCTGAGGAATGACAAGGTGGAGAATTAAGGGCTATGTAGACTTAGAATGTTCTAGGCAGAATGAGTGGTTCATGCAAGAGCCTTGAGCTGTACACTGGGAGGTAGCCATTGCCATGGCAGCAGGGAAGGGCAAACGCGGGGTGTGTGGCATCCAAGTTGTACTCTTGGCCTTACAAAAAGCAATACTGATCCCCCTAGGTTCAGGCTCCGCCCCTCACAAATTCCTAATCTAAACTTCCTAAAAGCTGGTGTTGCTCTTGGGAAAAAGTCAAAGATTCTGGCCCCTGTGATGATTCTCAACAGGTAGGTGACTCATGTGCTTTCTGCAAATGAGTATGACGTGGGATGGTGGTGGGACCAATCCTGTGCTACTTTCACATGCAGATAAGTCAATTAATGTCCTCAGCTCTGAGTCACCTCTCTAAAATGGAGATATATGAATCCAATCAGAGAAGGCATCTCCTGAGGTGAGCCACAGTATCTGGTTATTCTCCAACATCCTCTGTTTTTCCTCTACTGTCATTCTTGCCTCCCTTCTCTCATGGTTATTTTTCATGTGCCATCTTGGTGAAGGTATCAAACCCAGCTGTTCAATCGACGACAATCTACATGTTGTTATGAAGGTGCTCTGCTCACGTGGAGAACACCTACAGTTGGTGCACTTTAATTGCTTATCCTCTCCAATCTGGGTGGGGCTTATCTAATCATTCCAAAGGCCTTCAGCACAAAGCTGAGGTTTTCCTGAGAAGAAACTCTGTCTCCAGACTGTAGCATCAGCTCCTGCACATGGATCTACAGCCTCTAGGATTGCCCTGTAGACTTCAGACCTGCCAGACCTGCATCCATGTCCCCGATTCCTTCAGACATCTCTCTGTACATCTCCACCTCCATCTCCCACTGGTTCTGTTTCTGTAGGGAACCCTGACTCAGACATCGTCCAATCAGCATATGGCTCAGTGACGGCCTCATCTTCATCTCCTCGGTGCACAGCCACAGCCCTATCATCTACAACGGCTTCCGGCACCCAGCGGAAGCTGCGCGAGCGGGTATTTGCTTCTCTGAGGAACTACGCCACCTCACGTCCTTCACTCGGTCAGCACCGCGCATTCCCTCGCCCTTCCTAAGTCTGTTCCACTCACTGCTTTTCTCGGCACAGCTCCCTTGTTCATCATCTCATCATCTTCCTCTCCGTGGTTACTGCATCTAAAGTGCTCTCCAAGCTGCCAGGCCTTTCCTGTGCTCTTCATCCCACTCGCTGTTGGCAGATTTATCTTCCAAAAATAGAGCACTAGTTACATCACTCTCTTGTTCCATTCTGTTCTGTGCTGGGAGCTGGGTATCAAGATGGATAAGACAAGGTCCCTCCACAGGCACTACCTCAAAAAGTACTGCAGACCTCTAGCAGTTTTTTGTTAACTAAATGGGGAAAGACCATCGAAAGCCCATACTCCCGGATCCACTGTGTTTAGGCTTTTCAACCGTTGGCAAGTTACCCTAGCTCTCAAACATAATATTTTATCTTATAGTTATGGGGTTTGCAAGTGAATGAGTCTGGAGGTGTCTACAATGTTTGTGTGTGTGTATAAGAGAGAGAGGAGAGAGAGAAGAGGTAGAGGGAGAGGAAGGAGGAGTGGGGGGAGGGAGGGCAGGAGAGAAAGAGAGGGCACACAAAGTTTAAAATATAAGTTCTGGCACTCCTGAATTGTAAGCTTCCATTAATCTTAACACCACAGGATTACATCTTAATTTTAGATATGTGATTACTGTGATTCCTGCTCTATAGTATACTGTTTTCAATGTAGAAAACAAGCAACCACAAATGTTAAAAAAATAAAACCAAAAGTGAAAAAGAAAAAAAAGTGCTAAAGTGACATATAAGATGTTCAAAATTATTAACTGACATTCATTTACTTCTTGCACCATATTATGCAAACCATCAAATATGATAACTACATTCTTATAATTGGGATTGTAACTTTTCTTTCCTAAACAGAAAAATAAGTCATCAGATTGAACAAATACAGGAATAGGGAAAAAATCTGGAGTTCAGAGAAACATACCAAAAATTCAGTAAATATCTCTATGGCACAGTAAATCTCATCTTACTTCTACGATTCATAGGAGATCACTGCCCCTTCCCATATTTTAACAAATGCTGCATAAGAAAGGACATGCAGAGAAAGGAGGACAATGTACTCATCTCTCTTAACAATCCTGACAAATTAAAAATCCACCAGAAGACTGATCAAAATTGGTCTTCCTATTCGCTGAAGGGAAGCAAACATTCTAGAAAGAGTTCTTCAAACATCTGACAAGGGAGAATGCAGACAACTGCTGACAGTGCTGAGATAATTATAAAGAATAAATTCTCCACTTTTTTTTTTAGCAGTAATGACAAAGCAAGCTAAATAATTTCCACATCTATTGACTCCTGCTTCTTGTTGTTCTTTCACCTACGTGTGTGATTCTGTCAAAAATTAAATGTTATTTCTTCTACCACCTGGAGAAGGAAGGGGGGTTATTCTGTCCTTGCCATCCTGTTCAGCTTTATAGGCTTGTTCTACCCGACACCCTGTAATTGAGATTAGGATTCTGTGGGTTTTGGCACCAATGAAAGCTGTTTCCTTCTTCTTAGTGAAATGCTTATTGAAGAACATGAGTCACTCAGGCATCTAAGAATCCCATATTCCTAGGTAACATCAATTATCTGAAAAAGATACCCAGTGCTTCCATGGGTAGCTGAAACTTTCTCAGAGCTTCTGAATCTTATTTGCAGAGTTGTCAATGAAGTAAGATTGAATTTTGAATGAATAAGCACTAGCGTCAATATCCACCATTCACTGTATCTCCATTATGTACCAGGTATGTTACATCTATAATTAATTCACAACTGTTGTTTAAGGTAAAAATGCAGAGGAGGACGCTGAAGCTCATTAAGGGAAATTATACAAGGAGCTGGGAAGGTGCAGAGGTAGGGCTCAAACCAGTTTACTCCCAGTCCTAAACTCACTGGTTTTACCTAATTCTATCGCCTCCCGCTCCCCACAGTCCTGGCTGGGAGTAGTAGTTGGACGTAGTCACATTTTAATTATTCCTCAATGTATTTTGTGCTCCTGCTTTGAGCATTTAACATCCCTGAGCCTTTGTTTTTTCATTTATTAGATCAATGTAATAAGTGCACCTTATCTGAGGCAATCAACTTAGCTCAGTTTGATGGACTGTTCCTCTTAAATGCTAGCTTTTCCTCCTAAGCACATGGGAAGATTATAAGCTTTCCTGGTGGTAGTCATGGTCATGTGACTAGTTCTGGCCAATAAGCTATAAAGAGTAATAAGAGACTTCACCTCAGGCCATGGCATGTAATCATTAACCTGTCAGTGAACAAGTTCGTATCACTTCCAATCAGCCGACTCCTTCCACAACGCAGTGGACACTCAGTGCTATTAGGGAATCCTTGTTGTGCTAGACACTGAGAGTTGGTGTTTTTTTGTTACTGCAGCAAAGCCTGGCTTATCTTGACCAGTAAAATACCTTAACGAGTGGGTGTAAGGATCAGATACTTGTTTGCAAAGTGATTATTTGGTAAGTGTTAAGTGGGTAAGAGTTATGTTAACTATTTTAAGTG